AAAAGCTAAAAACGTGGGGGTGGTGGTGGTGGGGTCTGGCAGGGAGGGCAGCAGAGGGGAGGAGGCACCGAGCCCCCCCACCCCGGCCTCCGTGTCCCCACCGGCGTCCCCGCAGCCGGCGGGCACCCTTAGGACTCCGAGGAGGAGCGGGAGACGCTCTGGAGCAGCGATTTGTATATGGCAGAGTTCAGGAAGCGAGGGTAGGAGTCTCTGTGCATGAGCGTGTAGATCTGGAGCTGCGCATCGTCGAAGGTGTGCGAGGACGGCTCCTGCATCTTCCGGTTGATGACCTCCCGCACCCGCGAGTCCAGGCTCACCTGGGCAGCAGGGAAGAGAAATGGTGTGTGTGGGGGGGAACGGACCTTGAGGGACCCCCAGTGCTCAGACCCATTCCCCAGCACCCACCCCTGCACCAGCTCTCGTGGGAATTTGGGTATCGGGTTGGACTAGATGACCTCTAGGGGTCCCTTCCAACCCAAAATATTCTATGATTCTATGATCGGCGCAGCGGGTGGCCAGATGTGGGGAGCCCCGGAGCGTATTTGCACTGGAGCCAGGGTGTTTTGGAGAGGGCTGCAGGGAGGAGTGGGGAGGTCTCTGGGTCCCCCCCATGTCCCCTTGCTGGGCACAGGGAGGTGGGTTGGGGTGCTCCCCCCCCCCCGGGGTGCCTCCACTTTGGGGATGCTGGGCGCTGCGGCATCTCTTCAGCCCGCTGGTGCCCTCGTGAGGTTTCAGCCCCGCAGCACAACCCAGCCCCTGGCCCGCTGCACCCCGGGGGTTCTGGGGGGGGCCGGGGACACCCTCCCCACCGCCATGCACAACCAAACCCCTTCCCCTGCTAAACTCATCACCACCCCCCACCCCACCCCATCCCCAAATTGCTGCAGCGGCAGCCGGGACAGTGCCCCCTTCCCTAAGAAACACCCCCCCGAGCCCCATTTTACCCCGAGCCACCCCCCTGAGGGCGGCAGGAGGGGCTCTGCCCCGTACCTCCTTGGGCGAGAGGATGGAGATGTAGTCCTCGTAGATCATCCTGGCCTTCTCGTCGATGGTGTGCTTGTTGCACTCGTTCTTGAGCTCCTCGCACGCCAGCCAGAAGAGCATGTTCTCCTCGCTGTACTCAGTCCGCAAGAACTCCCGGAAGACGTTGCGACCCGCCGGGCTCTTCATCAGCTTGTCGAAGGACTGTGCCCAGCCCCGCACCTCCTCCGGCGTGGGTTTGGCGCTGCCGGGTCCCGGTGGGGAAGGCAAGGGCACAGTGTTACGGTCAGCCCGGGAGGGCTGCGGGCTCCCCGCTGTGTCCCTCCCCGCACGACTCGGCCGTGCTCATCCCTGAGGTCACATCCCAGAGGGATCCGTGCCCAAACG